TTGATGCAGATGGGGAAATTAAGGCACATTACAAACACACACACACACACACACACACACACACACACACACTCTCCTATCTCCAGAGTTGATTCTTTGACTCCCACGCTCTATGCTTTCAAGCCATCTTCTTCCTCTCTGCTCCTTGCTTTGTCACATCCAAAGCTCCTCTGTAGTGACAGCACTGGGGTTTAGAGCAGGGGCTGATACACTCCTTCCCCAGAACTGATGGGGGAGAAGCATCCTGGTCTCTGGAGCTTTCTCTGCCTGCTGGTCCCTCCCTCAGTTTGCCCACCAGATCCTTGCTGCCCATCACATCCTCAGATTCCCGCAGTGAATCAAGGGGCCAGGCTTACTTTACCCTTTCTGATCCATGCTACCCAGAGTCATGCACCATCCCTCAGGTACCTCCCTCCTTGAGCCCAGGACTCTCAGAGGAGTGATCCGGCTGCCCGACTGCCCACCCTGGGTCTTCTGCCCATAGCACCAGCTGCCTCTGGGCCTTTAGGTTCTGGGACCTTGGAGTCGGTCTTTCTAGAATTGACCTTGGGTCAGGAGGAAGTGGGACATGCTGCTCAGATGGGAGCAGGAAGACCTAAGCAAGAGAAAGACCAAGAAGGACTGGAGAGGACCCTGACCCTTCATTCCAGGCAGAGGAGGAGAAACATTCCCCATAATCTGTCTACGAATGGCTGGCTAGGAGCAGGATAAACCCATGCACGGCATTCAGGGAAAGCTGGCAAAACTGCTGCCCACTCATAGCTAATAATAGCAATAATAGTGATGATGATAAGAACTATGTGTGCCAGACACCCTTTTAGGAGCTTTATATGGAATAACTCATTTAATCCTCCAGCAGTCCTATGCAGGAGGTAATATGATAGCTGGGAGGATTGAAGTACAGAGAGGTAAGCATGTTTTCTAAGGTCACACAATTAGTGGTAGAGTGAGGATTTAAAATCAGAGATTTGGGGCCTTCCCTGGTGGTGCAGTGGTTGAGAGTCCGCCTGCCAATGCAGGGGACACGGGTTCGTGCCCCAGTCCGGGAAGATCCCACATGCCACGAAGCGGCTGGGCCCGTGAGCCGTGGCCGCTGAGCCTGCGCGTCCGGAGCCTGTGCTCCGCAACGGGAGAGGCCACAACAGTGAGAGACCCGCGTACCGCCAAAAAAAAAAAAAAAAAAAAATCAGAGATTTGGCCTCTAGAGTCCATACTCCTAACCATTACACTTGAGAATCGATGAGGCCAAGACAAAATTTGAACCTTGTTTTAACGGGTTTATAACTTGAGATGCCTTCGGCTGCGAGTATCAGAAACTTTATTTCCAAATGACTTACACGTACACCAAGGATGAACCTTGAGGACATTATGCTAAGTGAAATAAGCCAGGCACAAAAGACAGATACGTACTGTAGATTCCACTTACATGAGGTTCCTAGAGTAGTCAAGTTCATTGAACCAGAATGTAGCGTGGTGGTCGCCTGGGGCTGGAGGGAGGGGGGATGGGGAGTTCGTGTTTAATGGGTCCAGAGTTTCCATTTGGGAAGATGAAAGTTCTGGAGATGATGGTGATAATGGCTGTACAACAATGTGAATGTACTTAATGCCGCTGAACTGTACACTTAGAAATGGCTAAAATGGTAAATTTCACGTCACGTATATTTTACCACAAATTTTTTTAAAAAGAAAAAATTGACTTCTACTATAAGGAAGTTTAAAATGATCACACAGCACACAAAGGCCAGAGATAAGGCAACTCCGTAGCGTGTGATCAGTGGCTCAGTGACATCATGGAGGACCCAGAGCCATTTCCATCTTTCTCCCTGGCCACTTCTGGGTGAGTGTCTGGCTCTCCTCATGGTCACATGATGGTTGCTGCAACTGGACACATCACATCCAGACATGACAAAATATAGAGGGAAGAGAGACCATTTCTTCCTGGGGAGGAATGGGTTTCCTTAGGAGAGAGGACACATTTCCCAGAAGACTCTCAGCACATCCATCCACATTTCACTCTCCAGAATGACATCACCCGCCCATGTCTAGGGGGACCAGCAGGCCCATCTTGGACCAATAACGACTTGCCCTTTGGAGCTGGGACCAGAGCCAGCATCCCCTGAAGTTGAAGACCGCATGAAGTAGGTCGAACCGGAACAAGATAGGCTCTGTTAGGAAGGTGGGGGTCAGAGAGGATGCTGAAAAGACACCCAACCATGTCTGCTGCAACTTTGTAAAATAATACTTAATAAGGTCATTTATTAGTCATGTTCACCACAATTGTGTGGCACCCACTAAAACATGTGGCTCGAGTACCTGTTAGATTAAGCTGTTCTAAGGTTTTGGCGTTTTGTTTTTCTAATCCTTGCAACACTATCTCTTCTGTAGCTCATTTGGTGCAATCATCTTCTCATAATGGCTTAAAAATATAAAAGTTGCTGCGGTTATCAGTGCAATTTTCATAATAGTCACTAAACTTCTTTTTCACTGGAGAAAGTTTAGGGCAAGGAAAGAAGGGAGGAGATACATGGAAGAGGTGAGCATGGACTGAAGCATCCCGAAGGAGCAAATCACTACCCAGTCCCCACCCACCCCTGCGCACACACACGCAGTGGACAACAGTGACAGCCTTGGCTACAGAGCCAGAAACTGGGTCCCAAACGTGGCTAGGATAAAATAGGGACTGTTGACTTTGGGCAAGTGACTTAATCTTTTCAAACCCTAATGTCTTTATCCTAAAAGCAGGTGAGAGCAGTGTCGGACTGTACACGTTAAGAAGTTGTTGTGAGGGACTGAGGTAATCCTGGGCTCTTCCCTTTCCCTCTCCACCACTTGCCTTCAGCTGCCAGGTCCTCCTGGTCTCCCTCTAACACCCGGGATAGTCACCCCTTCCTCTCCATCATCATCTTGTGTCACCACCCTGTACCTGGACTTGCTGTAATAATTCCCTAACTGGCTTCAGGTCTCTAATCTTCAGCCTCTCCAGTCCATTCGCCCCGCAAGTCTAAGAGAAACCTCTCAGAAACACACATCTGATCATACTGTCCTTCTGTTGTTGACGGGATGAAGCCAAACCCTGTGGTGTGGGCCACCAGGCCCTGGGACGGGGTCTGCCTGGCTCCCTGGTCACGCACCTTCCACCTGCTCCCAGCCCCGCTGTCCCTGCACTACCTGGATGCACCTCGCACCCTTGTTTACACTTCTCCATTCATCGGAAATGCTGTCCCTCTCGCCTGCCAGGCAAATACATCCTCTTTTTTAGTGGAGTTTGGAGTCAACTGGCTCCAAATTCCGTCTCAGCTCTAACCAGTTGTGAGACCTTCGGAAGTAGTAGCCTTACCCTTCTGATTCTCAAGCTCACGACAGGTCCGGTGCTGCTTACAGGGTCGTGAAAATTAGACCACAGGCAGGGACGGCGCCCAGGACAGCTCCCGGCTCCTGGTAAGTTCCTCCAAAGATAGTTGTTATTGGCACTTCCTCTGGGAAAAATTTCCAAGCCCCTCGAACAGTCCCTTCTTCACTTCCACATGGAACCCTTTCTGTAGACCTACTCCAGCAGCCCTAACATGTTTGGAAATGAGGGTAGCACTTATTCCAGTTCAAGGTTCCCCCCATCCTCACCCCCCACCCTGGACCATAAGCTCCTGGAGGGCAGGAACTAGCTTATTTACCTTTGAATCCTCACATCCAGTCCAGGGTGTTTCACAGGGCAGGTGCTTCCCTAAGTGTGTGTGTCTACCCCGGACCAGTTAACAACCCATCGACTGCTTTCCTGGAAAATCATCCTTGTGCCCAGCCCCATACAAGGAGGCTTTGGCCGAACTTCTCCAGGGAGATGCCAGAATCCCGTCTGTACTCGGGGGTAAAAGCCTGGTAGGTATAATAACCTTGACTTCCATCAGTCCGGGTCCCCTGGGTAATCCAGTTGGGTCCCCCAACATGCCTGGGTGACCCCACTGTCTTCCCTGCCCACCACCATCTAAGACTGAAGGTCAACTTATTTAAACACCCATACCAACACCCAAATTGCTTTTCCCTCTCTCCTTTCCTCTGGTGAACAGAAAGTAGCACCCCAGGGCCATTGTGTGTCCTCGGTATCTCCCGAGTCAATTCGTTGGCCTTGTTTTCAGATGAGGCAAGTCCTTCCTCACCTGACTAGGCCTCCAGCAAGGTCTCGGGAAGGAGGGGCATGAGGATCTGGCCTCGGTAAGCAGGGGTCAGATTGTTGGCTGGGTTCCTGCAAACAGTCTTCATGTCCACAACTTTCTTTTTTTTCTCCTGAGCCTGTGGACAAGGCTAGACAGAAAGTCTGGCTTACCTCCACTCCTCCCCCCAAGCCCACTACATTTTTATATTGCTCCGAGGTTAATAGCCATGTCGTGTGGGGTCATAGAAGACATCTGTGTCTCAGATAATATGCTTACGGTGATTACCACACATAATTGGCTGACCTTCCCTCATTCTTTCCCTGCTACAGGCCACGGCTGATAGGATGAACAAGCCACAAGAGTTTATTTTCCATCACACATCATTGTGCTGCTGAGCAAATATGTTAGCAAGCTTTGAATGAGCCACCTTTTCAAGCTCTAGGTTTTCAGAGTTAAAATAGGAAGCCATGACCAACCCAATAATATTAGATTTTAAATCAGCTTTGGGCCACCCTACTCAGAGCACTATTGAGGGTCTCCTGGAAAACCAGGTTTGGAGCATAAACACTGTAGAATCCTCTTACCTTCAACATCATCCTTCTTCACGTTACTTTGGGGGGACTGGGGAATCTTGATACTCCTTGTTGCAGCCTCTGGGTCTTTAGAGGGAGAGAAAAATTAGCCCTTGGGTGCCCAGCCAACACTGGTCCCAAAGGGTAAATGGAGTCCAGCCTTCTGAAGTCAGCTCATCCCATCGTACCACTGGCCGCACGGGGCCCAGTCGCCAGCTCCTGCATCTGTCCACCATCACAGGTCCACATGGTCTCAACAAAGCACATCCTAAGCTCTCAGCAAATAGATCCCTCCTTCTGTGAAGACAACAGATTCCTGATCCAAGAGAGAATGGAAAACTAGGAGACTGAAATGAAAAAATTCCCCAAAGCAAACTTCAAAATGTTACATTAAGATTTTAAAACTTTTTAATAATGTTTTACCTTAGCTCTATTCCATCTATCTAGCAATTAATCCATCAGCCTTCACATAATACACACCTACAGGAAACGCGATTACACATCTCTGGGCTGGATTCCACTGTGAATTACTAATACGATAACACTCGGGAATTCCAAGCTCCTGTGTCATGCAGCATCCCCTCTGCCCACCCCACCCCTCCCCAGTAAGTTCTTGTGTGTCTCGGAGGACAAGGGCGGGGCTCAGTGGCTCCCCTGGGATTGGGTCCTAGGCCCTGGGGAACCAGCCGGGGTCTAACTCTCAAGTGGCACCACCTCACCCAGATCTAGAATCACAATGTTTGCACTTAAAACTCACGTCAGCTCTCCAGACCTCTACAGTGCTACACCTTGGGAAGATTAACTGGAAAGCAAGTGTCGACAAGAAAGTTTTCTGCCACAGTTTATCACATGAGTGTTGCTTCACAGTCATTTTAATTTGTGCAACAACCTAAACTGGGTTCTAGTTGCCACTTAGAGAAATCCACCTGGAATTGTCAATTCACCAACGTTTCATGTAAGTCATCCACGTCTTCTGTTGGCAGGGGAGGGACCAAGGAGAAAGGCGGGGGGAGAGATTGCAACTGCTTAACAGAAAAATTATACATATTCTGAACATATGGGTGATCTTTAGAAAATCTCAGCATCACTTCATAATTATATACTACAAGTTTTAATTAACTAAAGCTCTGCAAATCATAATGCCTTATTAAAATGCAATTAATCCTTTGATTAAAAAACAAAAAGCACAAGTATTTACAACAAAAACACAAGTAGAATAATTACAAATATCATGTACCCATTTCTTTTATTTGGGTGTCACTTATGATGTTGCCTGCTCCCTTCATTAATTCAAACACACACATTATCTCACATCCACAGCAGCGTGAGTGACAGTGGCCACCAAACACACAGCACTATATCCTATTGATTTCGGCAAATCCTGAACAATGCCATTTGCATGCTTGTTTCTGTAATAATAAAGATATGCCATTCAGAATTAAAGCCCGGCCAGGCTAGTGGCAACTAATTGTGTTGTATGTAATGAGTGCAATTTCAATTTGATATCACCCTCAGCTTTTCTTGCCGCACTCGCTAAGTACTTTCAAGTCTTTGTGGGGAAATAATTGATTTTTTTGTGCTGTGGGCACAAGAAAATTATTATGATCTTTTGAATAATGCCAAAGAAAAGACCATGAATGATTTAAATTGGTATATGAAGAAGGCTTCACTGTGGATGGCAGCTTGACTGACAACCTGCTAATGCAGTATCTAGATTAGCAGTTTTTAAGGAGGAAGCTAATATGAAACTAGTAAAACAGAAAAGGCTGCTACCAGGATTGGGTGGTGGCACGGTGGTGGCAGTGAGGGTTGTTGTTCCATTTTATTTGTTATCCAGGGAGGACCAACAATTTGGGGATTTCAGGCATGACACGATTACATGATTGCCTGGCCCTCACCACTGAGGGTATGTTTCCAGTGATAAATGAATGACACGTTTGAAATGGGCAGACAGGCGAGAGCTGAAGCGGGATTGTTAGCATGACTGCAGTTCAGCTGGGCAGACACAATCGCGGTGGGCAGATCCCTGGGTCTGAAACATGAAAGTTAGTTGCCATCTTCTTCTGACATCCAACTCCGGGCAGAAATTGGGAGCAGGGTGGTAAGGGAGCTACTTTCTTTATTCCTTAGTCTTTCCATTAGGAACAACCGCTCAATCCCACCGTGAGCGTGGCGTGGGTCTAGCAGGAGAGCTGAAGTCCTTTTCTTAACCTGGATGATAACAGGGAAGGAAATCTAAACCTCAGACAGGTTTCCTTTGTGCCCACGAAATCTCAGATCTGCAAACCCAACCGGGACAACTGGTCCCCCTCCCCTTTCTCCCGCCTCCCCTTTCTCCCGCCTCCCCACCCCCCAGCTGAGCCTTTGCCCCCAATGTGGCAGCCTCGACTTCAACAAGGAGGAAATAAGCACCTTAGAAGGATGGCTCACCAATTCAAAACACAATTCCACCTTAAAATGCACCCACCTTCCAAATCTCATTCTTCAGAGGAGGGAGTGTTGTTAATTTACTTGGTCATAACTAAATAGTTTCTAATCTGGAGCAGGAGGCTGCTGGGAATATTGGACAGTTTAAAGGTTAATCACCATCGCCTGGTTACACAAGTGAGGCAGAACTAATTCCTCCAAAGGCAAATGGCTTTTGCAGTTTTATCAGCAGTGCAGATTAGAAGTGTTAATATACAGAACAGAATGGACGCTTAAGGGCCGGTTTTCCCCTTATCGGCAAACTTTGCAACAGAACTCAGCTCCCACACAACCTCTGCACTTCTATAATAAGGCCCCTTATTTTGCCTCTCGAGCAGAACTATCAAACAATCCTGTCCAAACCACTGCCACCAAAATCAGGGTATTACAGACCACGGCTAATTGGAAGATCACTATAATGAAGGAAAAGATAAAATACTTTGGCTGTTGGCCTAAAATGTGGATCAACGCAACATAGGAAGCTATCTTGCTATGTCACATTCTAAGAGATTTACATAAACAATAAACTCAATCCAACCGTCCCCCCCCAAAATACATCTTTGTTTACAGTAAATGCAACGTAAAACCGGACTAGAGGAGGCGGGAGAGGGGCTTTACATAGGCAATATGATTAGGCCAGCAGTTTTGCAACCGTGCAGGAGAACAGGGACTGTGTGTATTTCCTCTCTTGCAATCAGCAGGGAGAAAGTGGTTTTTAATGTTCTCCACGCTTCCTATATCATAGATATTTAAATATTTGGACCACTCAGTATGCTAAAACGCTATACCCGCCGCACAAATTGACCTCCGTATTTCTACTAGGGTGGCAGCTGCCCTTCCAGGGCAGGAGGAAGGCAAGGACGTGGAAGGGGAGGGTTAAAAGGCTGCCACAAGCTGGTACCCAAGTGACTTGGTGGGTTTTCCTTTGGTGACTGGGGGAAGGAGGGGTAGATGCAGGTGTGAGAGGGTGGTGTTTTAAGAGAGCAAAATTAGAGACCACCAACCTCATCAAGCAGGGACTGAAATGTTTCCTTGATGGGAAATCCCTTATTATAACAAGGCCAAACATTCCAGGCACGTGAGGAAGAGACTCTCTGGGGGGCATGCACTAAAAGCAGATCCATCCAGGCGATGCATTCTGGAGTAAGGTTTCCTTTTTCCCGGGTATACCAAGCAGCCTGGATGAACCCATCTCCCAGGCATTGTTCAGTGATTTTTCACCTCTGGCTGCTGGCTTTTCCCTGGACCCCAACACACCTATCTTTCCTGAGCCTTGGGGTAGCTAAAAAGGTGGGTTCCTGGGACTTCCCTGGTGGTGCCATGGTTAAGGATCCGCCTGCCAACGCAGGGGACACGGGTTCGAGCTCTGGTCTGGAGGGATCCCACATGCCGCGGAGCAACTAAGCCCGTGCGCCACAACTACTGAGCCCACGCGACACAACTACTGAAGCCTGAGCGCCTAGAGCTTGTGCTCCGCACCAAGAGAAGCCACCGCAATGAGAAGCCCGCGCACCACAACGAAGAGTAGCCCCCGCTCGCCGTAACTAGAGAAAGCCCGTGCACAGCAACAAAGACCCAATGCAGCCAAAAAGAAAAAAAGTGGGTTCCTGTCTGCAATAGGCATCCGTCATTCTCTTAGTCAATTTCTCACTCTTTTTATTGTGCAAGCTCCTATAAGAAGGAGCCATGGCTTCTGCCTGAATGGCCCACAGCACCTGGATGAGTGTTCCCTTTAGGTACCTCATAATTTACACCAACTGACTAATGAGCTCAATATATATTTATTGAATGCTGTAGAGGGTACAGGCTGCCTACAAGGAACTAGTGAGCTTACAGGGGCAAGCCAAGACTGGCCCCTCAGAGATAGTACACTCCAGGAGACAAATGGCCACAGGATAAAAGGGAAAATGTGATGTGAAAGTGTGGCTAAGTGTGAACTACCCAGCCAAGGTAAGAAGCGTTCTGGGAGTTGAGGAGGGTGAGGCCTATGTGGTCTAAGTGATCAAGGGCCTTGAATGGGGCCCATAAGTCATTCATTCACTTAGTCATTTTTTTCACTCAACAAACACTTGCTCTGCTCCTACTGTGTCCCCAGCAATGTTCTAGACACCAGGCATGCCAAGATGAGCAGAGTAAGGCCCTTGTCATCAACATGCTCACCATGGGAGAAGAGTAGGAGAGGCTGACACATAAGCCAATGATCCCAATACATAGGGGCCTTGGCACTCCCAGATTTAACTTCTGACACTTTGGCTCATGTTAGGAGTCAGTGTTAAGCCACTGGTGAATTCAGACGTTGATGTCAGCTACTCTCAATCTGAGGTTTCCAAAGAGAGGCTAATGAAACTCTTAATAAAGGGTATGCTGAAGTTATCTCAATATTGTAAAATCCATGTAGAAGTCATAGATTTAACTATCACAAGCAGAGTAAATATCAAGCGTCTACTTTTGGCTGGAATAGAGCGAGTTCACGTGGCATTTCTTGGTGGTCAGACCTTGATTGGCAGTTCTAACTGTTTAGTAACAACGGGAAAGGAGTTACTTAAAATGTCATTTGTTAACAAATGTTGGAGGGGGTATGGAGAAAAAGGAACCCTCCTACACTGTTGGTGGGAATGTAAATTGGTGCAGCCACTGTGGAAGACAGTATGGAGGTTCCTCAAGAAACTAAAAATAGAGTTGCAATATGATCCTGCAATCCCACTCCTGGGCATATACCCAGATAAAACTATAATTCAAAAAGATACATGCCCCCCAATGTTCACAGCAGCACTATTTACAACAGCCAAGACATGGAAACAACCTAGATGTCCGTGAACAGATGAATGGATAAAGAAGATATGAGATATATATGTGTGTGTGTGTGTGTGTGTGTATACACACACATACAATGGAATATTATTCAGCCATAAAAAAGAATGAAATAATGCATTTGCAGCAACATGGACGGGCCTAGAGGTTATAATACTAAGCAAAGTAAGTCAGAAAGAGAAAGACAAATACCACATGATATCACTTATACTTGGAATCTAAAATATGACACAAATGAACATATCTATGGAAGAGAAACAGACTCACAGGCAGAGAGAACACACTTGTGGTTGCCAAGGAGGAGGGGTGGGAGAGGGAAGGATTGGGAGCTTGGGATTAGCGATGCAAACTATTATATATAGAATGGATAAACAACAATGTAGAGCACAGGGAACCATACTCAACAACCTGTGATAAACCACAATGGAAAAGACTATGAGAAAGAACAGATACGTACAACTGAGTCGCTTTGCTGTACAGCAGAAGTTAACACAACACTGCAAATCAACTAGACTCCAATGAAATTTTTTAAATAAATAATACATACATAAAATGCCATTTGTTTGATGGACTGTATCTTTTAAAATATAGTGGCCAGGGGGTAAACTAATAAAAAGATGGAGACAGAAAGTTAGGAAAGCAATGATCTTTATGCATGGCTTTTTGTCTAAGCTATTTAATTGACCCAGTGTTAAAATTAGAAGTTTTGGTGTCCTGTTAATGAAGCAAATTATTCCTCAGCGCTTTTTTGTAAGTAAGTGCAGTTGTACACATGCATCTCCTTCTGTTTCCAGCTGGAACAGCTCCCTGACACCTCACCAGCTCAGCTGACCATCTGAGGCCTGGAACTTGGCTGTCCACGCTGTGAGTGGCCATGGATGCTCCTCCACTGAAAGTTAGTGGTTACCTGTGCTCACCTGGCTACAATGATGAACACTTCCAGGCCCTGCCCAGGCTTCACTTGCCTCTTCTGGGCTAGATCCCTTCCTGTAAGCTCAGCCTCGGATAGGACCAAGTCTGATCATTAGTAGGTAAATTTGCAGAGAGTCAGAGAAAGTCTCCAGTTGCTACTAGCCCAGGGTAGACTTTTGTAACTGGGCTTCCTACCTGATTCTCTGATTCTCTCATCAGATATTTACCGAGTAGCTATTAGGAGCCAGGTACTGTGCTAGGCTCTATGGCTATAAAAAATAATAAGGGACCTCCCTGGTGGCGCAGTGGTTGAGAGTCCGCCAGCCGATGCAGGCGACGCGGGTTTGTACCCCAGTCCGGGAAGATCCCACATGCTGCGGAGCGGCTGGGCCCGTGAGCCATGGCCGCTGAGCCTGCGCGTCTGGAGCCTGTGCTCCGCAACAGGAGAGACCACAACAGTGAGAAGCTTGCGTACCGCAAAAAAAAAAAATTTTTTTTAATAAAATAAAATAAAAAGTAATAAGGAGGGGACTTCCCTGCTGGCGCAGTGGTTAAGGATCCGCCTGCCAATGCAGGGGACATGGGTTCGAGCCCTGGTCTGGGAAGATCCCACATGCCACGGAGCAACTAAGCCCGTGCGCCACAACTACTGAGCCTGAGCTATAGAGCCTGTGAGCCACAACTACTGAAGCCCATGTACCTAGAGCCTGTACTCCACAACAAGAGAAGCCACCACAATGGGAAGCCTGCGCACCGCAATGAAGAGTAGCGCCCGCTCGCTGCAACTACAGAAAGCCCGTGCAGCAACAAAGACCCAAAGCAGCCAAAAATAAATAAAATTTTAAAGAAATTTTAAAACAATTAATAATGAATACTACTCTCTTCCCCCAAAGAGCTCTTGTCATTTTGAGGAGGTGTACCCATAAACAACGACACCACCAGTGTGATAAGGGTTCAGTGATAATATAGCAAGGACTTGTGAGGGAGAACCTAAGTCTATCTGGGTTTTCAGCAAAAGCTTCCCCAAGTAGGTGGTGCTGGATCTGAGCTTGAAAAATGGGTATGTTCACCTGGTGTCAGAGAATTTGGGGGTTCCACAAGTTGTAGAAAAGGTGTTGGGAAGGGAGGGTTGGAAATGATACTCAGAGGAGCAGAAATAGTGTGTAGCAAGGCTCAGAAGAGTGGGAAGTTCGCAGGTGTCATGGATGTTGAGTTGGGCTCTCTAGCGTTCCTAAGGGCAAGAAGGCCGTGATGAGCCTTACGGAGAAAATATATGTTAGTTAAGCTTTGTTCGGGCATAAGTTATTGTGCTATCGGCCATGAGTTCAATGTTAATGAATCACCATAACATAACATTGTAAATCAAGTATAACTACACTTCAGTAACAAATAAATAAATAACTAGGGTATCTTTGAATAGAACCACATAAACCAAGGTTATCTGGTACTCACCAACTGATGAAAACGTGAGCAGAGGCTCGCAGGACCCTAACCCCGTATATCCCCTAGTAGCAATGGCTCAGTATTTGTGATTTCAGTGCTTCCGGTGACTTTATAGAACATAACACCTATGAATAATGAGAATTGACCATGAATAGGATAAGTGATTCGTGGAGGGAGACAGAGGCCCCAGGCACTTTGGAGTTGGAGTTTCCAAAGCTTGCAGGAAGTGGTTTGGTGATAGCAACTCCTTCACATAAAGACAAGCTGTGTGGGGCTTTTGGAAACACTTACAAAGATGTTCCTTATCATTTTTTGAGAGATCTTTTCCTGTCTTTAGAGGATAAGGCCCAAGGTCTTAGCCCATCTTGGTTCCCAGTTCAGGTTATGGGATCCACTCCGGTGAGTCTCCTTCCAGTGTTTCAGAACTAGAACCTGCTTTGACTTGGCCAGTTCCCTTCTCCCTTCCTGCCGTTTCTTGTCTCTCAGCCCAAACACGCAGTTGTCTGCCAATTCTCTTTTCAGATGCCAATTGCTCATCTGCCCAGACTTCCATGTGTAACCTGCCCATGATTTCATTTAGTCTCTGCAACTGGCTCTGTCCTCAAGTGCCTGTTCCACTCACAAGACACGTCCAGTGGCAGGTTCCAGCCCTCTCCAAGAGCCCCCTCCTGCTACAATGGCGAGGTCAGGGTTGGGATCAGTGCTCAGTGGCTGTGAGAAGGAGAAACTTAAAGAGAGGGCTGATCACTAAAAGGATATGGAGGCATCTTATAGAAATAAAGGAAATTCAGGCCTCTTGAAACTGAAGCTGGTGATGAGGAAGCCGTGGGGGGCCACAAAGTTTCCCTCCCCCACCCTCCCCAGCCCTCTGTGTCTCTCCATCTCTCTGCACCTGTCTTTCCCTCTATCCATCCTCCTTCCCTCCCTTCCCACTTTTTCTTATCCTCAGTTTCTCTCTCCCAGTCTGCTTTATTCTCTTTGCCGACCATCTTGCTCTGCTTCCCCCGCCCCTCTAACTCCCCTCTATTTCTGGCTTGCATGTGGCTTGAATCTGCCCTGGCATTAATTCCAACTCCCATTCTACATGGGGTTTATCTCAAAGGCCCACTCCCAAATACTCCTAGTTTGCATATACAAGGGAGCCCCTGATAGGCTGAGCTCCCCAGCTTGAACGAGCTTCTCTTAAGTCAAGTGCCGTCCCTGGTCCAGTCAGCTGCAGCTGGAGGGAGGAAAGGATAAGGCAAGTCACGGCCATCTAAACCTGCTCCTTCCGAGGGCCTGTGGGCAGAACTCAGTGCCCAGAAAAGGGAACAGCTATCTTCAGTCATTTCATACCTCAGGCCATATTCTGAAATATGAGGAAACTGGATGGTATTAGGGATCCTTATTTAATCTTCCATGTTGCCTCATTGTGTGAAGGAGAGAGTGGACAAGTCATTTATGAAACTTCATTTTGGGGTGTATGTCTGTCTTCTGGGAAGAAAAGTTCAGCCCAACCTCTGGCCCAAGCCGTCCTCTCCTGTCTGAAATCCCTACTGTCTTTCATTAGCCCTTCAGGAGGAGGAACAGAATTGGCAACCAAGGACTACTGTCTCCTTCAGGGAGGTCTCGAGTGGCTTGAGGGTGTTCCAGGGAGCGATTTCAGCATTTCTATGGCACAGACGGGTCAATCAGGGAGCTGGAGGAACAAGGCTGAGCCATCTCCAGACAGGAAGGTGACCTCTGCAAGGTCTCTCTGAGGCCAGGCAGATAAACCTCAGAAGAGCAGAGATTAGCGACCGTCTGGACCCAAGGTGGGGCTGAATGAGGTCAAGTCTCAAGGCAAGCTTCAGCCCTTTCAGGTGAGGCCCTGCTGGCAAGAGAGGAAACTTCTCCCCTCTGCCCTCCAGGCCTCTGCCTCTGTCTGCAGTGAGGACAGAATATCTCTGAGCTCTCTTCCCACCCAGAGGGTGTGGGGGGAACTTCGTGCTCACTGTACAGGTTGTCTCCCCACAGGAGGAGGGGAAGCTCTTAGAGCCTGGCAGTCACCGTACGTGAAAGGCTCACGGACACCTGCCCACTTCCTCTTTTACTTCCTGCTTCACGTCGGTGTGGCCGTGGGGTCTGGGATACCCAGTCAGCTTATCACTTGGGCATTAGCAGCCCTGGCACATGAACTATTTTGTCTTGCTCTTTTTTCTCTACAAATGTGCTTCAAATTGGCCTTTCCTAGCACTGCACACTTAGGTTCTGGGAGAAAAGGAAGAGCAGTTGCCACTTTGATCTGAAGCCTAAACCAGTTCTCCAGCCCTGCTGTTATCAGAGTCCTACTGGGGGGGTATCGAGTATTGCCTCAGACACTCTTAAAGCTGTATTTTGTTTTACACTTGGCTACTGATTCTTGAGCTGCTACTTAATCCATCAGAATCTCAGAGAGGGTCAGACAGGAAAAGACAAATACCGTATGACCTCACTTATTTGTGGAGAGTAGATCTTAAAAGGTCTCATCACACACACACACAAAATGTGTAACTATGTGAGGTGATGGATGTTCACTAAACTACTGTGGTGATCATTTCTATATATATATATATATATATATAAAATCATTATGTCATACACCTAAAACTAATACAGGGTTATATCTCAATAAAATTGGGGTGGTGGGGAAAGAATCTCAGAGAGGGAGGAGGTATCTACTGCAATATGCTTAGGAGACACAGACCTGAATGTGCAATGTATGTGGGAGGTAACTCTTAATTTGTTTCACCAATGATTTTATCCCACATGCTACCTAAATTAACACAAGTAAAAAGGTGGGATGCCTTAGAGATGCCTGTCTTCCTTACTCCTTGATGGAGGAATGAAAAAGTTAAGAGACAGACACGGTGGGGGGGGGGGGAATGTGGGTTTGTGGTTTGGGTTTTTTTTTTTATTATTCAGAAACTTTATTTTAACGCTTCTGATGAAAATCTTCATCAGAAGATTTTCTCAACTGGAACATCAGATAAATTCAGGTTATGCGATTTATTCTCTTTTACCACCTGCTGTTCTCACATACGCCCTACCCATTACCTGGGTAGCACGATGAGAAGCTGGGAGGGCTTCCCCTGAAGGCAGTGGGGCAGGTAATTTCAGGACCCCTGCCCTGGTGGGCTTTTTCTCTTTCTAGGAGGAAGAGTAGGGGGGCTCTGAGACCCTGAATATACCCTGAAGGCTTTCTCGAGTTGGGCTCGACCCTCTCCCGGAGCTGCCTGTGCTGTGTTAGGAGATTTTGTCTCCTGAAGATCTTTCTGGAAAGTGGAGTCTGTCCTGCTTTGCTGCATTTGACAATCAGAAACAGGCAAGCTAGAACCTGACTGGTAACAGAACCATACGTGGCTCATCCTCAGCCACAAACCCAGTTTCCTCCACCTTAGCCTTTAAAAACTTTGCTCAAGTATATACTCATTATACAAAATTCAGAAAGTTCAATTAAGGAAAAAGAAAAGAACCACCTGAGACCCCTCTTGCTGGATGACCACTGTCAACATTTTGATATATATCCTTTTAGACCTTTGTCATTCATATATGTGATATTTATTTACCAAAAAAAGAAAAAAAATGGAATCATAGTATGCAATGCTCTTTTGTAACCTGCCACTTAACATCTAAAAATATATTGTGAATATATGTCCCTCGTGATAGATATGTGCCCACAGCATCATCTGGAATGGTTGCAGACTACTCCAAGGCATGACTGTACCCTCATTTATTAACCCACCCCATCAGTGGGTGATTAGGGCTTCTCCAGGGTTCTGGTGCTGCTATAAACAACAGTGCAATAAGCAGATCGTTGTACTTTCACCTTTGGACACGATTTGGTTATTTCCTGTCAATACATTCCAAGAAATGCAGCTGCCCAGATAGAGCATATACTTGTTGAAGGCTTTATCATATATACCCCCAAAGGTCACCGATCTCCACTGCCGCAGCAGTGTATGAGGAGGCCTGTTTCCCCACTCCAAGACCAACATTTGGCGTCATCTCTCCCGCAGAACAGCAGTTGAAGGATCACGCATGTACGGAAGGAGGTGGGTAGGGACAGGAGAATCGGCTCCACCCCAGCAAGTCAAGGCTCTCCCCTGGACCCAAGTCTCCTTTGTAAAAGCATCTGATGGGCGTAAGAACAAGCGAGTCCTCCAGCAACCTGGGCTCGGGACTGTGGGCCTCTCGCCGACGTGGCCTGGCCCCTCTCCCAGGGTTTGGGCTCCTAACAATGACCAAGGCTCAGGCCATTGTTCCTGCCTCCCATCCAGGTTGTACCCCATCTCCCTCCTCTGGCCAAAGTCCCACTGCCCTCTGGGGTAAGTCAGGGCTGGCCAGAGGGCAGCAGGAAGCACTTGGAAAGAGAATTCCTAACGCACAAATCTTTGCAGCTTCCCCAGAGAGCTGCGCTTTCACAAACCCCCTTGTGGTTCCCTCCTTTGGTCCTGGCTGGCTTTCTACAGCTGGTTTATTGGAAGTTTGGAGCTTCCTTGTCAGTAAGTTTAAAAAAGGAGATCTGTGGGCTTCCCTGGTGGCGCAGTGGTTGAGAGTCCGCCTGCCAATGCAGGGGACACGGGTTCGTGCCCCGGTCCGGGAAGGTCCCACGTGCCGCGGAGCGGCTGGGCCCGTGAGCCATGGCCGCTGAGCCTGCGCGTCCGGAGCCTGCGCTCCGCAACGGGAGAGGCCACAACAGTGAGAGGCCCACGTACTGCAAAAAAAAAAAAAAAAAAAGGAGATCTGTTAAATCACCCAGCAAGTCACAGAGCTAATCAGAGACCACAGAACCTGGAGAAAGAGGAACAAGGTAGAAAGCAAATGGCCCCCACTGCTCCATTGATCTATTTCTCCTTTAAGCTGCTCTGTCTTACCTTGCTCCACGAAACAGTGGCTCACTCCAGCCTGCCAGGAGGATGGCTCTCCCGCCAATCTGCATATTATGGTCCACAGAGACTTGAGTCTTCAGGGGCAGGCAGTTGACTTATGGGAAGCAGATCTTCAATTAGCTTCATTCCGGCCTTCTTGAGGCTCTCCATCCACTCCAGTTTGGTCCCTAATTCATTAATCCTCCACATCCCAGCACTTGCCTGATCCCATCACTCTTACCTATCCTACATTATTG